GGTTGAAGAGACTCGGATGGCGAAACCGGTTGGTTATTTGAAAGTGATGACGGTGAAGTCGATGATGGACCTGCATCAGGAAAATAACTGAGACCAAAGCTGTAGTATTATAAAAATTGTTAATTCAACGATGGAATGAAAATTCAACAATATCATAAATTTGAAATATACCTAGTCTGCGTGGCGGTTGGGGTTTGTAAGAGAGGCGTTGATGGCATCCGTAGGCTACCATGTTTGCTTGCCTGTCGTCGTTTCCAATTGTCCCTCATGATATTGACCCGTTCTTCCAACTTTCCAATAATAAAAATAGCATGGATAAATTTGGTTAGTGAAATACAACATTGTGATGCTTGAAAATATACAGTAACATAAATTCACCATGTCTCTGGATACAGCGTTAAGAATTTTATTCCAGACTTCGGCCAGTGTCTGCTCCGTATCGGCGGTGTGTTTATCATGCTTAAATCGGTGAAATCTAACATTGCAAACAGAATATAAATTATACATTAAGAAAAAATTTTCGACCCGAGTAATATTCAGACCAATAAGTTTGACCTTACAAAGATAACTCACTTCCAGCCGCCATCACGTACATAAGGAGTAGCATCATAAATCTTGGTCTTCCAATGTTCGTCATACCTACATATATATCATGATTCGTTATCATCCATGCACCCATCACGACAACTCTTTATAATAATCTGCTTACCAAAATTGTCCAATGGCACCATCCGGTGGATCTTCAAGCCATCTTAAAGAAAACAAGAGAATTTTAGTTTTAAATTTAAAATCTATCTTTACATTTAACCCACATACTTGACTTCTGTTTGAGGATCCAAAGTTAAATAATCATAAAACTTGTGATTCACAGTATCGTCTTTGTGATCTTGATTATCGTCAGATATCAAAAGATGATATATAGGTTTCCGGTCCTTGGTCTTGATCACTTTTATCTTAAAATCAACATACATAAGGCTGATGGGTTTCCATAAGAGACTTTTACGTGATACAAATAGTGATGTTAACACAATATGTATAGTTATACGTATATGTGCATTTAAGATGACAAGAAAGGCCTTACAGTTTTTTACATTTTTCCGGTTCATATGGATGATTCACTGGAACAAACATTAAACCATCGTTTCCATGTTTCATTGAAGGAATCTTCTGCAATGTATTCACCAATCCATATGATAACTCCATGCTTTTTATCTCCATCCTTTTTTGCGAAGGAAGAAAAAAGAAATTGAATAACCGAAAATAATGCTTAAAACTTCTGATAAATTACTTTACAATTTTAACTTAATCACGAATGTACACATACATATAGATGTATGCACGTATACGTGTGATTGTGATACATACGTAAATGGCATTTTCTTTCTCATTTCTGAATTTCCTTCCAGCACGGCATTTAATGGTTCGATCACATCCTGCTTTAACATCTAAAAATGTTGTGCATGAATACACACATGTATACACAGAATGATAAATCTTATGTCTCGCTAGGTAATATATATATATATATATATATATAAAGTTATAAGAATAACCTAACACTTACACCCATTCTTTTGTTGTAAGGCCTCTCTATGATTACGCTTCCATTCAGAACCATGAGATCAAATATCAGATAACGCAATCGTCGCTACAGTAATGTCGATGAAAGGTATGAGTAAAAAAAAAAAAAATTTCTTTCGCATTTCCCGAAAATAAATTTCCGAAACAAAATACTTTGTTATTGTCGGCTTCTACCACGATTTCTCCATCCATCATCGTCTCATTATGTATTGCGCTGTGGTTATGCCTTAAGGGTAGCTTGAAATTGGTCAAGATCCGAAACTTGCTCGACTCATCCATCTGTTGATACAAAATACTAAACTGATTAACGACTTAAATTTGCTAACCCCCCAAGAATATTCGGATGACACTTGTATGCGCTTTCCGAATTTATTGAGTAAATAATGCCAACCATAAATGCAGTGCCACCGTCGACAGGTGTGAAAAACAAGATATATCGCTTTCCATCAGTTTTATCTCGCACAAAATATTCTTCTGATTCCAATAATTCGAAATGACTCTTCTCAAAATCCACAGGTTGTGTTCCGGGGAATCTTTATTGAGAATATCGAGATTATTTATCATATTAGTATTCAATTGATCAGTCGTGTTCGCTTGCAAATTTTCTAAATAATTAACCGGAGATAATAATGACCTTACCGATTCGAATGAGGATTACAACGCAATAACTGTTTTATCCTAGGCAACAATGTATCTGCATATTCATCATTAAGTCTAAAACCAACTTTTACATCAGGCTTTGGATTTAGTTGATGTAGATTGAATGCCATTTTTACGCGAAATTTCAAAAAACGATTTAACGACGAGGTGCTTTTTCTTTAATCGGAAAGAATGATCCTGAATAAATTTTATTTTAGAGAGCAGCAGAATTTCGATGGTCGATGTAATAGAAAAAAATTGAAGGATCTATGGAAAGAAAAAAAAAAAGAAAGAAAGGAAAAGAAAAAGAAATATTATGTGGATAACCCTTTTGTAAAACAGAAATGTAAATGTTTTGTTTAACTATCTTAAATTATCTGTAATTTATATCAAAATAACAGGGATTGATCAACAAGCATTGAAAGTTGAATAAAACGTCACTTGTCATACTTTTATTTATTCATCCAATGAAATTAAGAACAACTAGCATATAGGTAAGAAATTCGTCTGAAACCGAAAACTGCGGAACGGTGCAGTACAAGCCCTCGTGTGGAATTTGAAAGACGAACAGAGTGGAATGGTTTACAAAATACCCAAAAGCGCGGGCAAAACTAAATAAACCATAAATAGCATAAATAGGTTAAGGTTAACACACCATATTGTGTTACATCACTTGCCACTTATAACCGCCATGCAGAAATGCTGATCTTATCAATAATAGACCATGTATGGTATACGTTTGCTGTCTTTAATCCTTTATCTTTGTTTGATTAGCCATGTACGTATATACATTCACCTTCTCAATCATTTATCGGTGTGAGCGAGATTTTCTTGTTTCGAGGTGATTTTAAGATAAGATGAATAAATGTTTTTTTTTTTGTTTTTTTTTCACAGGCGAGTCAATTTCTTTGACAAAAAGGTTTAATTGATGTTCTTCGAACTACGTACATACCAAAACAAACAGAAGATGCTGTTCAATGACCCCATCTATCACTTTGCAGGAAAAAGCGATTTAATATGACACAGCAAGTTCGCAAGAAGAAATTCGTCAACAAGGCCATTACGTATTCCTGACACAATCATGGTAACACTCAAATTGCAAATATTAAATGGATCACATGCATTACATATATTACATACATACATATATACTGTACATACCTATGTAACATATTTAACATATTGTATGTATAGTACATATAATTACATATAAATATGTTATGCTTACTGAATTTACGAAATGTTAGTGTGTACTTACGTGCTTACTCCGTGATGATAAATAATATCATTGTCTTCTTGTGCAACGCCGAACTTTTTGTCATGTTTATTAAACATCGCCTTTTGTTCTGAGGTTATGATTTACCCAACAATGTCGACTTTCCTCTGTTTTAACCAACTTCACCAAAATGTGCAAACTACCATCGGAGAAAAGTTTTTTTTTACCCGATTGTTTACTTGCCGAAACACGCAATCTTAAGTTATTGTTATCTATTGATATTTATAGGAAACCGTGTCCCGGTCATTTAACTTTGTTCCGAAAGCCGGAAAGCCAATAAAACATATCCTAATCCGAATCTAACTATAATTATCAATTGCACTTTAGGATCGATTTTCATAAAAAGAACATTAGGGGGTTTCATTACTCATAAAGGTGATAGTTATCAAGCCACGGCTAAATGTCAAACAGAAAACCCCGATCAGTTGACAGTTCTAAGAATACAACCGGATCGGATCATGCTGAGTTAAAATAAATTTGTTGACTTTAAAAAGATTGATGTTTTATGGTTGATCGACTATTTACTATGATGCTAATGATATTTTCGAACGTGGAAAGAACGATAAACATCCGTTTTTTTGTAATAATGGTTTATTTATTTATATATTGTATAGCTGCGTTTTCTCAAAGCACCATACGTTCGGTCTTTAAAACTTGTATGATTCATTAGAAAAGTAAATATTTAATTAAAAGAATATTGGTGTAAAATGTATAATGTCACAATTTACAAACAAGGCAAACAATTATATTAATATACAACATAAAATAGTTTGGGAAAAAAAAGCGTCTTTTAAATCATACGATCATAATGCATAATGTAAATTATATATACGTCTATTTATATTTTTGTTTAAATTTTAATATAGAAAAAAAATTTATATGTATTTTTTTATACTGTATATACTGTAATTATACCATTGATTTTACAAATTTTTTATGCAGCTTATTTTATTTTAATATTGAATAAACACAACAAAATATATATTGCATAAAAAAATTCAGAAATTTTTTATTAATTATACTTATTATATATAACATTCAAAGTCATATTAATCAAAGATTTTTTTAAATGTATAAAATTGTTTAAAAATATTTTTTTCAACATACAATGTGTAACAAAAAAAGTTAATTAATATAAAACTTTAAATATATAAATTATAAAAAAATATTATAAATTATATATATAAACCTATATATAAAAATTATAAACAGAAATTAAATTTTTACTATAAAAATTTTTTTAAAAAAATTAAATATAAAAATAAATAAAAATTTTAAATTTATTTATTTTTGGAAGGAGTTTCCCCAGCAGATAAACATCATTTCTTTATTTATTATCATATATTGATTATATATATATTAAGAAAAAAACAACATCTTTTGGGTACATATTGTATATAACAATTTAAATACTAGCTTGTTTACTTGATTACTATATAACTAATATTGTAAAAAATTTCAAAAGCAATATTAAAATATTAAAAAGTAAAATAGCAGCTATGCTTATCTACTTGACAAAATTTTGCAAAATCTTTTGATTTTTTAAATATAAGATAAATGAAAAGAAAATAATAACTATAGCTACTGAAACTAAAACTAAGTCACATAAACTATAAAATTTATATAAACAAAAAGAATATCTAAAAGGTAATCAATAGTTTGGCCCTTGCACTGATACTGGTCTTAAAGATGTGACCCTTATTAACATAGATAGTAAAGTATAGTTGACATTGTTTGTTGTTATAATAGTTGTTATTATTGTTATAGTATTGAAAAACTGGTTTAAACAGATTCAGTTTTTTCTTTGTTGGTTTAATAAAATCTGATTAGATGATTGAAAAGCAATAATTATCTGAAGGAGGTAAACTGATTTTGATTTTTTAAAAAATTTTTTTAAGGATTTTGAAATAGTATAGTAAGTAATATTATAGTGAGATTGTATGTGAAGGTTGTGTTAAAACAAACAATAGACCCAACAATATTGTTTGAATGTGTTTTTTGAAAGGTATTTGGTTTAGCAAGTGTAATAGTATTGATGTGAATAGTTTTTATAATATAATAAAAAGAAGAAAAGGTATAAAAGAACAAAAGAGAAAAGAACTACTATGAGCCTAAGGTTCTGAAAAAGTACCGAACTGGTATCGAACTGGTATCAAAATAGTATCGATCTATAGTAAATTTAATACATGGGTTGTGACTTACTCATATGTTTTTATAGTAAATTTAAGTATCGAACTGATATCGAAGTAGTATCATTAAAAGCCCTACACAAGCCTTTCCTCATGCAACCAAAGGATAAGCAAGACTCCCAAACTTGAATAGACTTTAACCAAATGTTCCATTCCACTGCACTAGTTGTTTTGAAAATTTTTAAGTTTTTAAGCTGGGACTCACTTGTGATAAAGAGTGTAAAACATTTTTTCTTGCTTAAAATTATTATAAAAAGAAAAATTTTAATAAAACAAATACAATTAGGAGAGAGTTTTTAAATTTTTTAAAATAAATTTTAAATTTAAAAAATACTTATTATTATATTTAATATATAAATATTGTTAAATTTTATTTATTTTATAAAAAAATAATTCTAAAAAATTTTTAAAAGCTTTAAAAACTTATATTTAATATAAAATTTATATTTTTTAATTAAATTTTAAATTAAATTATATAATTGATAAATAATTTTGTTACTTAATAAAAAAATAATTATTATTACATTATTATTATTTTTTTTTATTTAACAAATTTATATATATATATATATATTTATTTATAGTAGAATGGTATTAGATGTGAGATTTTATTGCTTATTCATTGGAATTACAAATTTCATTATATCAAGTATCCTCTATAATGCTATAACTATAGCTAAATACTAGCCTATCTACTTTTTATACCTGGCAACATGTTGTTTATCTTTGAAATATGTCACATTGTTTTCAGGGGGACTATCTAGGGGGTAAAAATTCTACCACTAGTTTTAAAACCACCATATCTACTAGTCCAACTATGAGCAAGAACAATGGATCTGCTAACTATTTTAAGTAAGTTATCTATAACATCACACCTTTTTGTTTATGCAGCTATGGTTTTAGAGGGTGTTTTTCTTGAACTTGCCTTAGGACTGCCATGAGGATAACCATATGTTAGTGTTGGTACAGAGTTTTCTTCAAGACTTCTTACTTTCGATTGCTAGCAGAAAAGAATTTCGTGGCTTGGGATTGGTTGAGATGAAGTACAGTTCAGTCTGTACATCCAAATATATAGGTGGGTTTTTTGGCTACACTGGCGATTATCATATCACTATTCTGACGATTGCCACACCACTATATCTTATCTGGAAGATCACAATCTCAACACCCGCTGGATCAGTGTATGAAACGGCTTCACATGAGAAACAGTGCTTAACAAATTATGATACCAGATATCATATAGATATTATCCAATCACCTTCACTTGTAATTGAACTGGTATCTTGTGATTTGACCTGTGGAATGTTAACCACTACACTATAGATCCACAGGTTAACAAATTTATATATTAAAATATTTTTATTATTTTTATTTTATAATATTATTAAAATTAATAATATATTTTAAAAACTTTATTAAATAAATCTATTTTTTATATTTCTAAAAGTATTTTTTAATTCTATATTTTATATAAAATTGTATATATATATATACAGTGTGAGTCATAAATTTTTGGAATTGGTTTTTTTAATATAATTTTTTTAATAACTATTTAA